ATAGTTATTAATATATGTATTATAAACTGCCTATTTTTGTTGCAATAAACGGAAGAATAAATCTGTTGTATTTTTTATATATATGATTGTTTTTATCTATGGAGTCCTATTTTAATTAACATTTAAATTGAGCTCGTAATCACAAAAAATAAAATAGAAACAATTTTATTCATAAAAAAAACCTGCTAAATCCACTTCAATTTTGAAAATACAAAAACTAAAACTTGCTAAGTTAGAAATTCGCCAATAAAACCAAAAAAACGTAATTTTTTTGATTCGTTCTAGATTAGGGCCATAGAACGTCGCGCGATTAACAAACTATATGTAGAATTTTCCCCTTAGACTAAGAGTTAAAGATATATTGTAGTGGCACCGCCAGCAATACGGCAGCCCTATTCAGCGCCCTGGTAGCCCTGAGTAATTTACGTTCCACATACGCTTGATAAAGAACCAAAATGTACAAAGGGAGTCATTCGCGAACCGCCATTAAAACACATCGGACGAGTTAAATAAAAAAGAGCATTTTTAAAGTAAAGTTTTGAATTTTAATTACAAGCGCAAGTAGTCAACGCGGGTGTAACATTTTAATACTTAAAATTTTAATAATATAAAATAGTCCCGAGTCTTTGGGCTAAAACTAGACGCGAGGCCTATTAGAAATTTGGTTTTCTAGCGCCGACGCGCAAAGCACCCAGCGGAGCACCCGTGCGGAACTAACAAGAAGGTAAGGAGTCGAAGCAGTATATTCCAGAGGGGACACGATATGGCGACCGTGGCCTGGAGCGGTGCAGCGGAACGCGTGAAGAAAAAAAAAAGAAATTAAAAATTAAAAAAAAAGAATATTTTAAATTACAAAAGCAAATCAAAAATGAATTGCAAATCGGAATTTTCATAAAATAAAAATTTATTAAAAAATTTGGTGCGTGGCAGTGGTATGCAAAATTTGGTGCGTGGCAGTGGTAGTTGAAATGAGGTGCGTGGTAGTGGTGATAGCAGTGGTACAGCCTCGACATCGGCAAAACGGTCTTTCCAGCGGTACGTATGTACAAAACGAATATGGCAGCGGTACATTTACATACATATATGTACGTATATAACACGCCATCGGCAAGTAGCAGCAGTGAGTAACGGTATGAATGTACATACAAAATCACGCCACCCGCAACTGTACTATATGCATACATATACGCATGAGTATCCCGTTATAATATTTTTTCGAAATATTTTTGAGACCCACGCCACCGTAACAGCAAACATAGCGGCGACAAACGAAGCCACACCACCACCAGCCACACGTATATGTATAACGGCTTAGCATAGCGGCAAGGCACAAGACCTACGGCACCGTTAATATATACCGGGAGTTGCACAGCAGTCCACCAGCTAATCTAGAGGTACAAAAGAAAATTTGCAGTACCCCCGCAACTGCGCAGGTCACGGCATAACCACGCCACCAAAAGCAACAACAAAATAGAAAATTTTCAAGTTGAGACAGCAGCGAGGGAGGCCGCAGTATAAATAGCAGTACAATAACACCAACAATAGTAAACAATTTTTAGACAGCGGCGCGGGATAACGGCGGAAAAGCAGTAATATGGGTACAGTACTGATCAGGAGTAAGGCAGATTAGTTTAAGAAATATTATCATACATATATTATTCCCTTTTTTCA